AAAAATTCAGTTAAGTGCTACTTAGTTATTGACACTTACTTGCCATTCCTAGTATATAATCAGTGCAAATGTTATCACAGTGAAAAGGTCAAATAACATAGTGTAATGTGATGGTCATGTTGACTTTGGGGGAGCTGTCCTGCTAGAAAAAGTTTGACCTAAAATAAGCCACTTAATATCTTTAAGATTATATTTTCTCACCTGAAAAATGGAATCAATACAATTTTTTGTTCAAGGATTTTCAACAGTAGAAGCAAAATATATTCTGAAAATCAGTTTAAAGACACCACCCCCAATCTTATGTGAGGCCTAAAGAGACAACTACAGTGATTCTTGCTGGTATCTGAAGAGGTGCGATGCTGCTGAGGAGAAGGTAGACTGAGGAGACAGATGGGGAGCTGAAGAGTTGGAGTGTCATACCCATCTGGCACTTCAGGGGCTGCTCTTGGAGTCTGGCCCTGAGAGGGGCTCTTGTCGAAGCTGAGTTCAGCCACCTTAGGCCACAGTGAGTGCAAGATGGCTCCCAGAGGCCCAGTAGCCTATTTCCTCCCTGGCCCATTGCTGGCCTGACATATTTGCTCACCTGTACGTGTCCCACACACAAGTCCTGGCACAGCAGCTCATATCCAAGAAAGCATGCTGGAAAGCAAGATTTTGATGGTGTTATTTTGATAGCGGTATCTAGAAACCATTAGGCTTGCTTTTTTCCCCTAATTTTTAAATGCATCATTCTTCCCACTGCTGTGCTTTATTAGTAATAATAAATTATAGTGACAGCTCTCACAAAAAATCAAGGTAACCCTGGGGGAGGGGATTTAGCTCAGTGATGCCGCCACCTGCCTTGCAATGAGTTCGATCCTCCAGTACAAAAAAAAAAAAAACAAAAAAAAAATCAAGATAGCCCAAAGTGTCATACCCTGAAGTGAGAACTGAAATTTTAAATATTTTTCTTCCCAGGACTCCATTCTGTGTCCACCCCTCTTTTGTTCTCTCTTTCAACTTGTGGTATTTTAAATTTTGTATTTGATGTAGTTTTAATTAAAGAAAAATTCAAAGTTTAAATGATCAGCCTGAATTTTATCATTTGTCTCTATATTAGGTAATATCCATTTTAAATGAAAATATAAGCATTTAAATGGTATGTAGGATCATTAAAATTACAGACTTTGTATTTTACAGTTCATGTATGTGTATGTGTGTGTATATATGTATATGCACACAGACTCAGCTGTTTTTATTTCACTTCTTCGCATGTGCACATTATTCCAACACTTTCTATCATGGGCTCGCTGATAGTAAGGGCCACAAGGAAAGAAAAAGATCTGTGGATTTTCTTATCTTTCCCTTTCTGCCATCATTTTCAGTATGAGTGATTGGATCAAACAGGAAAGTAAATGAAAAAGACAGCAGAGTTCTTAGGCTGATCATGTCTCACACAGCACCACTGCCTTCTTTCTGCATGCAGAACAATTTTGGTTCAAACTGAAAGCAGATCCCTTTGGAGCTGTCGGTGACCAGCTCAGTCAAAAACATAAATGCTTACCTGCTTCTTCTCTGAGACCCGCTGAACTCCCATGTGTTTTAGGCCTACCACTATTCTATGCTCATGGACATCCAGAATGCTATGTGTAGATGGGACAACAAAACACAGTGGGCATGAAACATATTGTGCTTGACTCCTCTGCTCGTGACATGCTCCATTGTCTCAGAAGACTTCATGCACAAACACAAGATCACAGATAAAAGTACTGAAAATTTCAAATTAGGCAGCATATATTTAAACCACATTCAGGGCCCTTCAGAACAAGAGACTTATAGCTTTAGGGTTGCACACCCATGAAGTTGGCCCCTTCTCCATGGCCTTGACTCCTGCCATGCTGGACCCTACAGTCTCACTGTGTTCCTTCCTACTGAAGGTATGTGATTCTTCCCTGTGCCCTGAGTGTCTTTTCGTTCTCTTCCTGTTATCTTGGTCCAGCCTTCACACCAGGCCAGATCATTCTGGGCCCAAAGTAACTCTCCATCAATGTACACACCACAGTCACCACTCTTCATTTACATATTTGCTTATTTCCTTCCCCCACTGGACTGCAAGTAACTTGTAGGCAAGGTATGGGTCTGGCTTTGTTCATGATTGCTCCACCAGTGTCCAGTATGTAGTTCCTAATAAATATTTACTATGTCAATGAAAGGATAATTTAACAAGTGAATGTTGTTGCAGCAGAAATACAAGTTTCAGGTGTAAAGTGGAATAAACAAGAGTAACATGAATTTTAGGTTTTATTCTAGGGGTGCTGAATCCTGTTTCAGTTTGAACTGGTGAAAAATGAGTGAGCACAGCATTGCCCTTGTTTGCTTGTCTGCCTTTATGACTAAATAAGAAGTACTTGAGAATATATGATCCTTATATTTTAAGAAGCCGAAGTCATTTATCTTTGTATCTCTAGGCCCAGTAGCTGGCTCTGAAAAAATGTTAGAGCTAGATAGAAATTTGTGACCTTGAAGTCATCCATTGCTCCTCCTCTTCCTTCACTTTCTCCTTTCCCCTCCTCTCCTTTCTCTTCTTAAGGATTCCTGAGTCTTGAGAACAGCCTTGCTTGTGATCAGATTTTTCCAATAAAAAATTACCCTGATCTATTTTAGGTTTAATTTGGCTCTTTAAAGAGAAATGGTCTGATTAGCCTTATAATCATAGAAGTAGTTGGGCACTCCAAAGAATGCCCCAGAACCAGTCTGGGGACAATGTAATATTCTCACATTGGCATTGATCTTGGAATAAAATCACAAGGAAGGCACTTCAGAAGCTAGTATGTTCAATCCCAGCTAATTCAGAGAAGAAATTAAAACTGAGGATCAGATGAAACCTGTTCTCCTGCCCTGAAGGCTACAGAACTAGCCTGGTAAGAATGGGCAGGACTGAAATGCCCAGTGCTCCTGAGCAACACCAATGTTCTTGTTAGAACCTGCTCCACAACTTGTCTGTCTTGTCCATCAGTCTACAACTACATTAGAGAAATAACCGGGAGGAGAGGTAGTGAAAATAGAATGTCATAATGAAATTGAAGATTGAAGAAATAGTAATAAAATAAAAGCCTAAAGGTAAGATTGGCATTGATTGAACATCTTAGAAAACATTGTTAGTGAGAGATCAGGGCATGCTTTCTATATGTAAAATGCGGGATTTCTCTCTGAGCAAGACTTAAATTGGAATATTGAATGTTCTTGGAAACAACCCCGAGTGGTCCCCTTTGAAGTTACAGAACTGTCTGGAGATGGTGTGGTAAAGTAGAAAGCCCATGGTTTTCCGACATTAGCCATACCTGGGTTTAATACCCAACTTTAGCTTTGTGATCTTGTGCAAGTAATTCATCTCCTCGGTCATGTTTCTTCTCCTCCGCTGCGCCCTCCTCCTCCTCCTCCTCCTCTGTCTTGTAGTTATGTATAACTTCGTATAAACATCCATCTTACTGATTTGTTTCAAAGGTCAAATGAGACCACTGATACTGGTACAAAGCTCCACACGCCCAAGCAGGCATGCAATCATGTTATCCCCTCTCCTCATAGTGTCAGTTCATATAAATAGTTGGATAGGACCTGGACTAGGGTGAGGCAAGCAAGCACTTGGGACACCTTGAGAACAAGACCTCCGGTAGCACCCTAAGTGCTTTGCTTGCCTCTCTCTGGTCCAGGAAGTATAGCTGGGCAGTGTCCGCCAAAGGTTGAGGCATCTCATGGTCCCGATGCCCTCCTCCTCAACACCATCTCCCAGACCATCTCACAGATGACACAGTTAAGGCCCAGAAAAGCAATCTCATTTGGTTTAAACCTATCAGTTAGTAAGTGGCAATCCTGGAATGCGGGTCTGGACTCTCAGTTTAAGCCTCTGTTTACTCCCCAAGCAGCCCATAGCCAATCTCTGTCTTGCCCATATCACATTATGCTCTCTTAGCCCTTTTGCGAGGAATTGTCTCTCTGAACATCTGTATGTCATCTCTCCAACAAGTCTGTAAACTCTTTCAATACAGGAACAAGATATGTCTCAAATTTTTAGCACAAGGCATTCACTAAATGGTTTGCTTGCAGTCAGGGTTCAAGAAATAAATATCCATCAATGCAGGAAAAAAGAGGTGTTCACATGGCCTTATTAGTTAATGCAGAGAAATAGTTATAATAAGCATTAACCTAGCTGAAGGGGAGAAATGCATTAATTTCACAACATGTTTAGCTCTTTAAAAGGTTAGCTTTTTAGGCTCCACAGGGAATCCTGAACTCACATAGACTCACCTCCGCTATTTCAAGAGAGAAAATTGCCACTCTGAGTGGCTGCTCTGTCACCACTGGGAAGGAGTAGGTGGAGAGAAATAATGGTTGGAGAGGTGGAAGGAATTCAGCTGCAGTGATGTGAACTGTTTAAAACACTAGTAAAGCAAAGAGGAGAGCAATGCTGCTCTAATAATCTCCTGGAGATCCTGGTAAAATGAACACTCTGGTCCAGGAGGTCGGGTTGGGTTCTGGAATTCTGTATTTCTGACAAGCTCCCGGTGATGCTTATGTTCCTGGTTCACGCACCACAGTTTCAAGTGCTGGGAATGTTGTCACAGGACAAAGGGATGTGAAAAGCCTTGGCATTTTGTTTTAGTCCTTCCCTCTGCAGTCATTTGTCATTTGACTGTAGGCAAGTTCCCTAATTCCACACTAAGCAAAGGACAAGTGGGAAATCTGCCGGGAAAACTGGGAAAATCAGCCAGCTCTCCAGAACGATGACTCATCTTTTTCCCCACCAGGATACATCTAATGGGTGACATTTCATTTCTATTTTACTCTTCATGAAATGAACATGTTGGTGTGGATCTCTGGAGACCAACAATTCTGGCTTGAAAATTCTGTTTATGAAGGAAATTGCTTGGAGTTTTGGGTCTATGAATCTGGCCCAGTAAAGGTAGTATCTTCAATCTGGCAATTCCCAGGGCTCCCACTCACTGCCTTACATCCTTCTGCAGGAGAAATCTGTGCTTTCAAGATCCATGGCCAGGAGCTGCCCTTCGAGGCTGTGGTGCTCAATAAGACGTCCGGGGAGGGCCGGCTCCGCGCCAGGAGTCCCATTGACTGTGAGCTGCAGAAGGAGTACACGTTCATCATCCAAGCCTATGACTGTGGCGCCGGGCCCCGGGAGACAGCCTGGAAGAAGTCACACAAGTGAGTGGCCCATCATAGCTCCCTGGAGCCCCAGTCCCACCCTGGCCCACCACCTCCACTCATTGCATCCATGGGCTAACATTTAGGTATCTTTATGCCCCATCCTTGACCCAAGTCTTCCCAGTTCCCTAGGTCCCTGCAGAAATCTGGACAGTCTATATTCTAGTCCAGGAAGAGTCTACCCACTGGTCCTTGCTGGAAGATACTTCCTAGGCCACCTTCAGGACTGAGTTCATGTGTCACTTCTTCTATGACTTCTCTCGTAAGCCAGACCCTTCCAGCAGCTCCAGTTGGGATTTTTCCCTGTGTGCTTTATTCTGCTACAATACTTCTCACTGTGAGTTGTCTCTGCTTTCCCCTTTATGGTGTCTGTCTCAGATTCTGTCATAGAATAAGAGAAGTTAAATCGTTACTGAATAGGGCAGTGAGTGAATGGATGAAACAATAGAGAAAGAGAAGTTGAAGAGAAAAAAAGGTGGGTAAGACGGAAGGTCAGAGAACAGGTAGGAGTCTGTGGCCTGAATGGCTTGTGGGTTTTCCACACATTTGACCTTGGGCTGAGTCAGCGCCCCACAGAGGTATGAAAAGATGGTAGGATTCTATCTTTACCATCATCTTTTCTTTTCAATGTGTGATCCAGGGCCGTGGTCCATATCCAGGTAAAGGATGTCAATGAGTTTGCTCCCACCTTCAAAGAGCCAGCCTATAAAGCCATTGTAACAGAGGGCAAGATCTATGACAGCATACTGCAGGTGGAAGCCATAGATGAGGACTGCTCCCCTCAGTACAGCCAGATTTGCAACTATGAAATCGTCACAACAGACGTGCCTTTTGCCATCGACAGAAATGGTGAGTGTCCTGAGAGAATCCCACTAGGATCAGGGAAATCAGCGTAAGTCTGAGACCATGTAGAGCTTCTGAATGTACTTGCCTCTCTTGAGACTCTTGATCTAGGCTCCTGACCCAGAACTCAGTCCTGCACTCAAAGAAATGGCCCTCAACAGCACTACCAGATCTAAAATATTCCTTAGGAAATCTCAAAAACCTACTCACTGAATATAGTCTATTGAATTCACAATGCTACACCTCTGTATGCTGAAGAGGGTTAATCTTCTGGCAGAATTTTCCACTTATCATCCAGATGTGACTCTTGGCATCCTTTGACCATATCTAGATCCCTTTCCTATATGACAAGTTATGTCATGACTCTACCACAAAAATCTGCCTTCATCTTCCAAAGAAATTCTATCAGAGCAGATGGGGATTTTGAACCACCTTCCAAACCACAGATACATTCAGGAAACTTTTAAGCCCTTGGCAGTGTCCCTTTTGAGAATTTCAGCCCTAATGAGAACCTTGATTCCAAATTGAACTAAACTGAAATCAGTCCTATAAAGGCATTTGGATATTTCTCCATCACCATTAATATGGAACTCATGGTGTAAACACCACAACCACAGTCCCAATCAACTGAACCCATTTTTGAATATAATTTTCCGTACTTTGAGTATGATGAAATGATGTTTGTCAGATATATTTTTAATTATTAGTGTTAATGTGTATATTTTTCCCATCTTGTTTCAAATTACATTTAAGTTCCACACAAAGATGCAAAAGCTGCAAGACCTGAAATTAATGCACTCTGTAATTATTTACTGAGTGTTTCTAAATATTTACTGTGTATTAGGCATGGTTCTAGACACTTGGAATGGAGACAGAATGAAATTCCAAAGGGATGTAGGCCTAATCACATGGAGTTTACCGTCTAGTGAAAATAAAGAGAGTCCAGGGAATCAAGGGTGAAATTCATGCGCAAAGCATACCATGAACCAGAGTTAGGCAAAAAAAAAAAAAAAAAAAGTAGCCAATATCGCGAGAGAAATAGCATCAGTAACTTGCCTACAGATCTTTAGGAATGCTTCTCTATGTTGAGGCCATAGCGAAACTTACTCTATGCTATAATCTGTATCCTAAGAACTATAGCAGATTCCATCTGGGGCGGGGGCCAAGGAGACACCCTCATCCCTAACCAGAAGTAGCTGATGTTCTGTTCTGGAAGACAAACATATTTATAAGACAGAAAAAATAGTAACACAGTAGTTTCCTCATAAAAGGCTAAAAGACCTGAGAATGAAAATTCCATACCTAGACATCACTAGATGCTGATTGTACCGGGCACAAAATCAGTGCACAAGAAAATAAAGGAGGATATACTGAACTTCAGTTAAAATTTGCTTCAGAAACGAGAAAATAATTTTACTTAGTACAGTCTGTCAGAATCACTCCCTAATAGTTTTTCCCAGATCCTGTGAAATACCCGACCCGTCCCCACCACACACACACACACACACACACACACACCCCTCTATAAAATAGAAAACAACTGCTTTGTGGGTTTTTTTGGAGGGAGTTCCATTCTTCTATGTGCAGTCTATCCCCATGAAAGCATTGAGATTTGGGAAGTGATGATTCCACAGTGAGTTGCAAGACCAGATAAGTGGAGATATCTGTGATCAGTGGTCAAGTTCCACTTGGCCTCCTGCCCTATTCTGAAGAACCAGAGCCCAGTGAGAAATGATATGCAAATTCTTTCATCTAGGGTAAACTGTCCCAGCCATGAAGATAATTACTCACCTTGATGAGCCATTTCACTAACATATGCCAATTTATTTCCCTGGCTGTCTCATTAAAAGTGAGTAATGGGCTTTTGCCAGGCCTCTGCCTCCAACTTTGGTTTACAACATAAGATGAAGAGGAGAGTAGGCACTTCTGGGGAGTGTGGGCCCCAACAGTGAGGTTTCCAAAAACAATTTTCCAAGTAATGAAGGCAGGACCTAGGGTTAGACACAGCAGCATCTTCCATTCTAATGAGCTGCCAATTAGCCCTTATCCATCACCTCTCTGGATGACCTTAGCTTCTTGGAGGAGTTCTTTGCATACATGCATATCAGGGAAAGTGCAGCTGAATTTGGGGTCTGCTCATTGAGGCCTAGGTTTCCCATGTCCTTTGCTTTGTGGCTTTAGGTAGATGCCTCCTTGTCCATCCAACCTGGCAAGCTCTTTGCTTGTGAGGGAAGTAAGGAAGAGCAGAAGACATTATGTGGAGTCAGTTTGACCTGTCTTTAGAGACTCAACTCCTTCCCTTTGAATTCCACTTCCATGAAATCCAGACAATGATAGTCCCCACTTCATTCTGTGGTTGTGATGCCTCAAGGAGAAGCAATGTGTGGGGATAATGTTTTCAGGGTACTTGCCATATGGGGAGTGCTCTATAATAGTGCTGTGATTATTAGATATTTGTCTGAGTGATTGGGACATGAGGTTTATTCACTTTCCATGGATTTCTAGGTTGAAATTATGGGCATGTGACTGTGACTTGAGACCTTACATCCTCTGGTAAAGTTTCTAATCCATTTCAGATGCCATATAGGCACCCATCTGCACTTGGCCAGGCTCTCTGAGATAAGCGGAGCCTGGATCTCTGTTTCTATTGGACAAACGGAAAAACTGAGTCCTAAGGCACAAAGAACTTCCCCTAATACCTTGCCACACTTGTTGCAATATGGGGACTGGAACTCAGCAGCAGACACTCTCAGATTTCACCACTTAAAAACCCCACTTTTTTTTTAACTTTTGCAGTTTCTAGGCACTTGAATAAATAGCTGTCGCTCAGTAGCATCTACTGCCATGCATACATTAACAGCTGGTCCCCTAGCCATACACGTGCATACTACTAGCTATAGTCTCAGCAGCTGTGCATGCACGTGGACCTACCAACTCCTACCCTGGACAGCCACAGACCCATCTGCCCACAGCTGGTCCTTACAGCTTCACACAATCATGAAGCCAGCCCCACCACTCCATCACTTACTCCATCGCTTGCCACACTCCCCCATTTGCACCCACAGATAGTCTCTGAAACTGCATACATACACATCACCAGCTTGAATCTCACAGCAGTGCACATATATGCAGCTGGCCTAATCTATTGCTGTCCCCCACCACCACCACTGGATTCCTACAGCTGACTCCTCCAACTTTACATGTGCACTATGAGCCTTGAGTCCTCTAGTTGTACACACACACACACACACACACACACACACACATACAGAGCACCTGTGTCCCCACAGTTAGCCCTGAAACAGCCCTTATCACCATGTGCATGCCTGTATCCAGGTGCATGCAAACCACTGGCCTCAGCCCCCACTGCATCAGTCCCTTGTCATTGTACCCTGGGACACCACTGAAATCATCAACAGCTCTCTCAGGTACCCTAGACCTCCCATAGTCCTTGCCACACCAAGGTACACACTGTTGCTGATGTTCCAGACCCATGTTTCCTGAACCAAAAAGACACCATCCCCTCATTGCTGATACGAAGTCTCCCCATGCTAGCCACAAGGCATAGTGCCACAGTGCTCTCTTAGAGTTCTTCTTCAACCACACAGGTGAATGTTTTTCCTTACCAAAGCCAGTCTACAAAGTACACAAGAGGTGACTGCTTTTTCACATTCTCAGATACCTACACAGTGCTATAAGAACCACAAAGGGAAAGGGAAATGGGACATGGCCAAAGGAACATAATTAGCTGCCAGTAACCAATGCAGATGAACCAGAGAGGTACAAATTGTCTGATAAGGAGTTCTTTCTAAATAAGCTCAATGAGCTACAAGAAAGCATGCATGAGCAATTTTACTAAATCAGGCAAATAATACAAGGACAAAATAAGAATATCCACAAAGAGATATAGAATGTAAAAAAGAATCAGAGACATTGGAATCAAAGAACAAAACTACTGAACTCAAAACTTCAACAGAAATCTTCAATAACAGACTCAATCAAATAGGAAAAAGAATAAGTAAACTGAAAGATAGATCATGAAATTGTCCAGTCAAAACAGAGAAAAAGAAAACTGAATGAGAAGAAATGAAGAAATGCTATAAGATTTATAAAGCACCATCACAAAAGTTATTTGGATCATGAATGGAGATGGAGAAGACAGAAAGTGGTAGAATACTTCTTAAGAAATAATGACTGGGGGAAAGGGAAAAAGGGAAAGGAAAAATTATGAGAAAGAAAAAAAATGGAATCGAACTGTGTAAATAGGGAAGGGTGGAGGGGGTGAAGGGTGCACAAGTAATGGGAGAAAAAATAAAAACTAAGATACATCATGTTCTGGTAAAAACACCCAATGATAAATGTAAATGTATTTTATACCTAACATGTACCAATAAATATATATATAAATTTAAAAAAATAATGACTGTTAGGGGCCGGGGATTTAGTTCAATGGTTCCGCTACCTGCTTTGCAAGCAAAAGGTCCCAAGTTCAATCCCCAGTATCAACAGAAAAAAAAAAAAAAAAGAAAAGAAATAATGACATCCAGTCCCATTCATGTTGCTGCAAATGATAGTAGTTTTTAAGGCAAAGTAGTATAAATGTACTGTGTTTACTTTATCCACTGAAGAGCTTCTGGAGAGATTACGTTGACTGACACAAGCTAAGCATAGAAAGACAAATACCACATGACCAGTAAATCAAACTTATAGCAGTATAGAGTAGAGTAGTAGTCACTAGAAAAGAAGGGTGAGGTGGAGATAGAAAAAAAATTAAAAGGAGCTTCTAAGAACTATGAAGGGTACTGGGGGAGAGAAAAGAGGGTCAAGTGCACAAGAAGGGTAGATTGACCTCATTGTGAGCTATTTGCACGAATAAAAACATCACAGTGAACCCCATTAATTTGTACAATGAATATGTTAGTACTAATAAAGAAATAATGGCTAAAAAATTCCCAAATATTTGGAAAGATCTGGACATCCAGGTATATGAAACTCAAAATTCACTA